CACATTGTAAGCAACATAAAAACTGTTTATGAAATGACAACGCCGCCGCTGCCCCTGCCACCACCGCCACTGCCGCCTGGTTAGATCAGTTGGGAGAGCGCCGGTCTGCCAAGCAGGAGGTCACGGGTTCAAACCCTGGCTGGACCAACACTCAGGGTCTTTACATAACTGAGAAGAAAGTGCTGCCTTTGTAATGACATCTGCAAATTGTTAGACTTTCTAGTCTTCTCGGATAAGGACGAAAAACCATAGGTCCCGTCTCACAGCACTTTCACTGATCTGTTCTTGTGGGACGTAAAAGAACCCACACCACTGTTTGAAAAGAGAAGGGGACGTAGACCCAGGTGGTGTGGCCAACCTCCATGGGTTGGGGCATTGGGTAGGGATGTGCACCTTGCATGGAACCCATGTGTCCCCTTTGTGCCCATTCCCTCTGCATAAGCCTGTGTCCAGAAAAGATGTTAAAAACTAAAAACTAAAACTACGACATGACAGGAAGTTGTAAAAATCATAAATTGGTTGTCATTTTATTACACCAGCAAGCTACTATGTTGTTTAAAAAATAGTTTTACACTGACAAAAGCACCCTACATTTGCATAATTGTACCCTACTTCAGCTACTACATCTCGTTCATCACAGTCATCCCAGTCATCCTAACCAGCCAATTCACACTTGCAAGTCATCAGTGGTAACCCAACTCATCCTAGTCATCCCAGTCATCCTAGTATTCTAAGTTAGCCTTGTTGTCATCCCAGTTGTCCCAGTCATTTTATCCTAGTCGTTCTTGTTATCAGTCACCCTAGTCATCTCAATCACCCTAGCCATCACAGTTATCACAGTGATCCCAGTAAGAACAGTTATCCCCAAGGCTTTGAAATGGAATTGTGGCATCTATACGAATTTTATTCTCACTAATATCAATACCATTTTTTTTGTTCGGTGCTTCACAGTTTCACATCTTCTATTGGTTTAAAACTATAAAAAAATTGAATTCTCTTCTAACTCCTCCTTTTTATAAAATTCAGAGTTTCATTTTCAGTTGCCTTGAGTAGCAGCATAACCTCCCTTGCCCGTGCAGTATGCTTTCCTTCTCCACACCGACGCTGAGGAGAAAAGACTGCGTGACCAGCCGAAGGAATGTTTGTGTGCGAAGCAAGGAGTCCGCTATCTGTTTCTCTCAGTTTTACCTTTCTAAAGCTGTATATAATATATACACAGTTGTCCGTGTTTTATACCTAGTCCATGTTTTATAATCAGCCTGTAGTTTCTAGTCCCCATTTTATACCTAGTCCATGTTTTATGCCAAGTCCACATTCCATGGTCTGTGGTCCACGTTTTATACTGACTGCTTATTTATTATCCTAGTCATACTTGTTATCTTAGTCATCCAAGTTATCACTATCACCTTAGAAAGAACTATCGCCCCATATCAGTGCTGTCAATCCTATCTAAAATCCTCAAAAATATGTTACAAAGTCACTATATCTTCAAGAGGAACAATTTGTTATATGAATAATAAACAATCAGCCTTCACTATCATAGCCATTTTGCATGTTTCATTAAAATAATATAACAATATTATGATTAAGCTCTGTATCTAGGTTGACACCAAGATTACAAACTCAGTCTGATGGTTGTATTCTAGCATTATCAATAAAAAAATCACTGAGAATTCCAAGGGTTCTTGACGAAACGAGAACTAAACTCAATGACCTCTGTTTTACTAGGATTGCACATTAACTTATTGATGGTGTTCCATTCTATGACTTCACTAATACACTTCTGAAGGGTGTTGAGGGCACCTGGTACGTTGATCATGAGGGTCGACAGTTATGTAGAGTTGAGAGTCATCTGTGCACAACATACAATCTAGGTTACGAGCAGAGATTATGTCTTGAATAGATGCTGTGTAAAGAGTAAACAAGAGAGGACCGAGTATGGAACCTTGCGGAACTCCAAATTCTAATCACTGACTGCTAGACGTTGTGCTACCAATAGTAACAGATTGTATCCGACCAATAAGATAAGTCAAACGCCAAGTATGAATGTATCTGAACCGTGACAACCTTCTCAATGACTTTTGCTAGGAAAGGTATATTGGCTCTAAACGACATCAGCAACAAAGAACTTAATTCTCTTTGTGAAATTCACTTATTCGTGCCTTCATTTGAAGACATTCTTTTGTTTAGATTACATTGAAAAGTAAGCATCCATTGAGATGGCATAGTGCGTAAAGTAGAGGAAGAGAATTTCCAGAGACTGGAAATATTCTCAAACTGAGCGAGGCATCGTACGAGACATTATTCAGATATCAAAATGACATTGAATACCTTCTGGCTGATAAAGAAGTAGAGAGTTGTGAGGAGGACAGTGAGCAAGATTTTGAAGATGACAGCTGTGTAGACATGGTATTTGGTGGAATGCTTCTATGCACTCCATCCGGGAGACCAGTTATCCATCCAAATCGCATGGACCTTCAGCATATAACATCCACAAGATGTTTTTCTTTTTTTACCATTTCCCCTATAGCTAGCTTTACAAGACACTGCATTGACTGAGAATTTAAATTTCTGTACTATATACATTGTTCTGCTTGTAATACGTTAGATGCCAGGAATATAGGCAAAATTTCTCGTGCTCATTGTTAACTTGGCATTGTTGCAGATGGGATGTCATATTTAAAAGTCAATGACAAGTGTCAATGGTAAAAAAAGTTGGTCAAGTTACGAATTTCCAACGGGTGACACCAGAACTTTCTCTAATTGCGACATTACTAGTTTTGAAATTTAGACGGAGGACATAGGTACCCCCCAACAGGGCCTCATTATGTGTGCATGTTGTTGCCTGTAATGGCTTGTGCTTTTTAAGTGTTCTTTTTCACCCCATCCCACCCTCCCCTTTGGTGAGTATAATAAGTATGTTAGATGCCACTATAATTATAGTTAGATGTGGCTAAATGTAATTTTGGAAACCTTAACCTTGAACCCCTAAGCAGGGGTAACTAATAGCAGTATACAATGGTATCTATGACCACCTAATTGAGGCTCTTGGGCATTGGACTGCCATCTTTATAATCCAGACTCCTTCTGAAGTTCTTACTGGCATCTCTAGTCAACTAGCTTGACATCACGTTTTGTTTGCATTGGTATAGGTCCTCTTTTTTCTCTGCAGCTGTGCATGGACATTTCATCAAAACTGAGTGCTGCCTTTTGCAGGAGCATGCTGCTGTGGAAGGCAATTAATGGTGTCTCTTTTACTTTCAGCTGCGTTTCTTGGGTAAGTATGTTTTTGGTTTGTTCTGCAAGGCTCCTGCAGCCTTGTTGGAATCGGAGGTCCCATTTCACTCTGATTGTTGCTTTTGAAGCAGGAGGAAAATGTTTGGGTGGGGACCATTAGCAAGGTTGCCATGGATACCTCCTTCCTCATGCTAGAGCATTGCTTGGCTCCAACAACCTTGTAGGCACCAGCACCCAAGCACATCTATGATGTGATGAGTTGAATGGTGTGACAGTGCCCTATGCCACACTCAGGTTTGTCATGGTTACACATTGTACTCGGCAATACTTCCCGACTCCACCAGCCACACAGGCACCTCCACCGACGCTCATCTCTGTTGATGAGTTGAAGATCAGTTAAGTGTTTGTTTACATTGTAAGTTTGGGCTGTAGAATTTTTAGCAAATTCTACTGAGAACAAGTCATGCTTACAATTTTACATCAATATTTAAAAAATATATATATTTCATTCTTTTAAGTAGCAATGTAATTGCTGAAAATCTGAAAGAAATTTTCCATGGCAGTTGACAGTGTATTATACAAATAGAAAACCAATCATTCATCTGTAACAAACCATACTAATAAACCAAGACACAAAGTAGAGTTTGTTTGGATAAAGGCATACAATTTTTCTGTGGAAGAATGTAGACTGCAAACAGTCTCTTATTTTTCTTTTGAGTCACAGTAGATTGAGAGCAGGTGTTAGGGAAGAGCAGTAAAACTGTGAGGAACAAGGGCAGAAGCCCAAGCAAAGAAAATATAAGAGAGTGTGATGATATCTTTAATCTCGCTATTTGCTGCTTTTAATGCCTGTTACATTATCACTTTTTGCCAGCTTGTGTTGCAGCATTCAATTTGTGACTAGGGTTATGCAATAATTATTACGTCACCAGTTATATAACCCCCATTGTTAACAGCAAGTCATTAGGTCTTTTCATCTCTTTTGTTTAAGAACAGCTTCGTCTATATAAATTCAGTAGCTCTAGTTATAAAGGCAGTTTTTTTTCTTTTGCATCAGTGTATTAAAAATGTTTCAGAGTTTAGGTTAGTCTCTGCTTGCTTCATTATTTTTTCATGGTGTCAGGAAATATAAAAACCCAGCCAAGAGGAGGAGACATTACTGCTTCACCGCTTTCGTCAAATTCTGTGGTTTGGAATTAAACAATGTAGTTTTATAGGATAACAGAGTTATCACATTTTCAAGTGCTGCAAGCACATTTTTACCTGACTGTTATCAGAAGGTGCCAAGACTGGGTCAAGGAATGACAACCCTTTCTACAGTGTAAATGCTTTTTTAGCGTAAAAATCAAAGGAGATCAAAGCAAGTTGTCTTAATTTGAGCTGGAAAAATCATAAGAACACACATAAAGTCGCTAAATTGTTCAGGAGAGCAGAATTTAATTGATTTAAGTCTTGCAGAGGATATTAATTTTACAAAGCAACTGTTCTTTGTGACTAGTGTGAATATCCTCCTGAAGCCCATGGCTGACTACTCCGAGACGCAACAGTGATTGGTCTACATTCCCCAGAGGCCTACTTTAGAGGAGGCAATAGCCATTGCTCAAAACAAAGATGCCACAGCTAGTCAGGTTGGTTACAAGTATGCAACCAGAGTTCAAAGGCAATCTGACCCAAGAAGCAGTCCATTAACTCCATGAAAAGTAAGGAGCTAGACCTAAACAAAAGAAACAACAGGAGGAAAGAGGTGGACCTGACAATCAAAAATGCACCAAGAGAGAAACCAGTTTCAATATTGTGGAGCAGAGTCTACACATCCAAGAAGTGAATGCTCTGCAAAGAAAGCAAAGTGCTTCAAGTGTGGAAAAGACAGACATTATGGCTCTGTTTGCAAGTCCAAAAGCAAAGGAGGGAGTGTTAATGAGTTACAAACTCAGCCTACTGACGCACCCTTCAACGAAGACAGCACAGCAGAAGACTATGCACCAGTGTATTTTACTGCAACTGTGAATCATTTGAAGATGGTAATAGTAAAGACTCTTAACTGTCCTCTACCACAGCCTCACATTCACCCTCTTTGGCTTAGTAAGGAGCTCTCATCACAAATAATTGGCTTAGTAAGGAGCTCTCATCACAGATTTCCAGATCTCCTGTGAAATCAATACAGCTGCAAGCTGCAACATTCTACCTCTGTACAAAGCAACAACTCTTATTGGAACGGATCTCAAGCTGGGACAACTGACAGTGAATCTCAAAGGCTACAATGACAGCCCAGTTGAGAATCTTGGATCCTGTTCTGTGTACTTTAATCATGGCAAGCAAACATACAAAGTCTCATTTGAAGTGACAGACAGCAAAGGTCACATGATCCTGGGCAGGCAGCAAGCATTGCTAATGGGATATGTTAGCTTCCCAGAGATCCAGCAGCCAGTGGTACGGTCAAGGCCAAAGTAAATACATCCATAAAAACCATTACTGACAAGCCTGCGAAACCCCCTGCAGAATAGTATTTTCCTGCATTTGACTTGGTAATTAGCAGGAAAATATGCTCTCATCGGTATATTATGTTTGTTTAGGCGTGTGCGCTGGTATGTGGGTAATTAGTAGGGGTATATATTTTGACGTGCTGGTTTTGTCTTTCATCTCGGTCTTGCTGTTCCAGTGTTCAGGTCATTTTTATTTGTTTTTGACTTTTTAAGGTGTGTGTGTGTGTTCTTTTTGCTTTTATTTTGCAGATGTTTTCAGCTCTACTGTGTGGTCGGATCTTCGGGCTGTGGTTCCCCAGGGATCCAGTGCTTTACAATCCCTTGCAAGTTCTCTTCCGGATGTTGTGTTGGCTAGCACTCAGTACTTCCTCCAAGTATTTTTCTTCTTACAACAGATGGAGGTCTTGGGCATGAGAAAATGGCTTGACAGTTTTTCCTGCTTCTCCGTTTCACTTTGCGATTTATTTGCGTCATTAATGACTGAGGCGAAGACAGCATCTCCTCTGGAGTCAGCAGTTCACAGCATTACCTGGTTTCACCAGCTGGGTGGCGAGCCGTCCCCTTCTGATCATCTGTTGGTGAAGAGTACTCTTGCCAGTAAGCAGCGTTTGCTGGCCCATCAAACAACCAAGAAGGAACCTTTTCACAGTCTCTCAGTTAGAGCAGTTAGTTGCCTCCAAGGCGGACTCAATGGCCTCTTTGTATAATATTCGTTTGGTTGTTATTTGCTTACTACCTTTTGCTGCCTTTCTCAGATTTGATGAGCTTGCTAAGCTTGTTCGATCCGATGTTAAGATCCAAAATGACATGTTAAAGTTATTTATTCAATCTAGTAAAACTGATCAGTATAGGGATGGAGCTTGGATTGTTGTAGCTTCTTCTAGGAAAGCAACTTGCGCGGTTGCTATGATGAACCGTTATTTAGATAGAACTGGACTTTCCTGCGATAGCCCTTTGTTTTGTCAGCTTTCCAACACTAATGTGGTTATAAGCCTAGATCTAAAGGTTTAAGCTATTCAAGGTTAAGAGAGTTAGTGCTAGAGGCCTTTAAAGATATTGTTCCTGATATTTGTGCCATTGGTACGCATAGCCTTAGGAGTGGCGGGGCCACTGCTGCCGCAAATGCTGGCGTACCAGATCAACAGTTACTATTTAAGCGTCATGGCCACTGGGCTAGTGAATCGGCTAAGGACGGATATGTCCAAGATTCTTTATCTTCTCGTTTGTCGCTTTCTAAGGCTTTAGGTATTTAGTTTTCTCGTTTGTACCGCTTTTAATTTATTCTAGTTTCTATTTAGTTGGTCCTGCCCAGGGGACCGTTTTTTTATGGGTTCAGCTGACCTGGGGTTTTCCTCCTAGGTGCAAGTGGATGTATGGGGAGGTTTTTCACCCAGCTGTTGTTCCACGACCCCATTTCAATTTAATTTAGCTTGTGATCTAGTTTTTTGGAGCTGTATGTTACTTGGATTGTATATTACGTTTCTAGGATATTGCATGCATCTTTTAGTCTTTTCGTGAATAAACCGAGCGCTTGGCTTGAAGCGAGCCGCACCCAAGGTTTGTGTGTTTTCTTGTTGGGACAAACTGAGATTTAGAGGAGAGCCAGTTATTCCAGTAGTACAAGAATGTACAGATGAGAACATAACCATCGGAGGGAAAACACACCCATTACCTACAACCAAAGAGTACTTGCTGAAGGAATACTGTGACGTGTTTAAAGGAATAGGAACTTTGCCAGGGGGATCTTATTACATTCAGGTGAAGGAAGATTACAAACCTGTCAAGCATCCCCCTCGTCAGGTAGCATTGAGCCTTAAATCAGCCTACAAGGCAGAGCTGAAGAGACTGATAGAACTTAAAATAATAAAAGAAGTCCAAGAGTACACTGAATGGATCAATTCAATTGTTCCTGTGAAGAAACCTGATGGTTCCTTGAGGTTATGCCTTGATCCTAAAGATCTAAATGAAGCCATAAAACGCAACCAGTGGTACAACAGAACGATTGATGATGTCCTACCGGAGCTGATAAACTCGAAGTACTTCAGCCTACTTGACGCCAAGTCAGGCTATTGGCTGACAAACTTCAACACACCATGGGGCAAGTACCATTGGCTACGCCTCCCTTTTGTGTTAACCCTGGCAAGTGACATGTTTCAAGAAAGACTTGACAGAGTCCTGAAGAGTGCTCCCAGTACTACTGGTATTCCTGTGCCATGGCAATGCAGAAATCCCTCACGATGCAGCTGTGATTACCTTGTTAGAGACAGCAAGAGCTAATAATCTCACTTTCAATGCAGAGAAGTTTGTTTTCAAATCTCAAGCGCTATTAAAACCAGAAACTACACCAAATACAGAAATAAGTGTACCTCATTGTGCATTTCTGATGATGCGTTGTGACTTCTCGGGGTTAATGTCTTTTTTTTTGGCTTGTTTGTTTTGTTTTACTGTTTTCTTGTATCAATATTGTATGCGCCTTGTATTAATAATTAATTGTTTCGTTAGTGTTTTTTTTTTCTTTTTTGAGTTACATGGCTAACTTGTTTTATTATAGTATGTATGTACCTTTGTTGTATGGTAACTTGTTTATTCAATATCAATAATAATAATAATTTAATAAAAGTCCCAAGACTGTCCGTTCTTTGGTGGTAACCTCACTCCACGTGTGTATAAGATAGATTTTAAGAAGCTATCACAGAAATGAAAGCACCCCTAAAACCTTCAAGATCTTCAAAGCTATCTTGGTTTCTAGTGAGCTATCTCAATCATTTTAGCCCAAAGTTGGCAGATCTGAAAGACCCATTAAGAGCACTGTACAAGAAAGGTGTTGTTTTTGCATGGGAGATCTCACAACAAGAAGCATTTGGAGCAATCAAGAAAGAAATCACAAGGGCAACAGTACTAGCATATGTTGAAAAGTCAAAGACAAGTGTCATCCAGTCAGATGCATCTGAGAAAGGCTTAGGCACAGTAAGTAAATCCTCAGCTTAACTGATGGACTCCAGCTGTCATCATCAGAGCGCCAGTTGCCTCTCAGCCGAGATCATACAGCGTTGAAACCTCAGATGGAACCCAGCTATGTAAAAGGAACCACCACTTTATACACCCAGCTGCACCTGTTCAGCCAGGGTCCAACACCTGTTGCCACTCAAGCTCAAAGTAGCCCCTGGTACCCCAAGGCTGCAAACTGAAAACAGCACATAGAGAACGACAGACATGCACGATAAAGAAACCTGAGAGACTCAAAGAGACAATTTGATTTTATAAGAACTTTTTTAAGGGGGAAGATATGTTTATAAAAAAATGTACATTAGCTTTTTTCATTCAATAGCTTTTGATTACTTTGTGTCAGCGCATTCAATTTGTTACTAGTCAGGGCTTCTGATATTTCGCGCGGTCACGGACCCGCGAAATTCAGGTATTTCCGCGAAATCCCACGAAATTCCCCAAAAAACACGAAATACCGCGAAATCCGCCAGAAATATTTCCAAATACATGTCGGCAAAACATATTTAATACTTATCTTGGCTATTAGATCTGTTCTATTCACCCCAAACGTCCAAATTTATCTTAAAACTTCGTCACTGCAACGAGTAATCAACGTCTCAAAACTACCAGGTGTCTTAGATGAACGTTGTGAAAAACTGGGCACTAACCATAATGTTAACAGCTTTAGCATTCGCTCATGTCTCGAGCGAACTGTTGTTGAAAGAGCAAGTGATTATCCCTGTTAAAAAAACGTTAAACAAATGCCGGTCATATTGACGCAAAATTGATCGATTTTAGCGAAATTTGCCAAAAAAATCCAGCGAAATCGGCTGTTTTTTACTGATTGTTTCTTGGCGAATTTTCCCCCCGAAATTTCCCGTGAAATGGGCCGATTTTTCTTAGATTTGCCCCGAAAATCCTTCGAAATTTGACTTTTTTCCGCTAAAATCCCGCGAAATCGGCCAATTTTTCTGCGAATTTTGACTTTTCTCCCGCGAAATCGGCCCATTTTTGAGCGAATTTTGACTTTTTTCCCGTTAAAATCCCCTGAAATCGGCCAGTTTTTCCGTGAATTTGCCCCTGAAAATCCCGCGAAATTTTGCTTTTTTTTCCGCGAAATATCAGAAGCCCTGACTAGTGTTGTGCAATATTATGTAACCAGTTACAGTGTACATAACCTCCATAGTAAACAGCAAGTACCTAATTAGGGAGGTTTCATCTATATATAAATTTAGTGGCTCTACTTATAAAGGCAGTTTTTTCTTTTGTATCAGTGCATTAAAAATGTTTCAGAGTTTAGGCTAGTCTCTGCTTGCTTTGTTATTTTTTCAATGCCTCCTATTCCTTTCTGACAATTGATACCATTTTGTATGCTTTTTCCCGTAAACAAGTTAACAGCTTGTCTTTTCTTTGCTGTTTGGTTCAGGAACATAAGTGCCGCTATTATCCATGAGGTATTGCAATGATGATATCACAATGAATCCCAAAACTTTCAAATAAAGATGGTTCCTCAAAGTGAGCAAGGAAGAGAGCGAAAAGACAAAGAAGCCTTGCTTCATTATTACAGACCAGGTATAGAATTGGCTATTGACCTTTTGCTCTCATGTATAAAAATTTTGAGCCAAGAATATTATTTCAGGTTCCACAAAAGCTAGAGCTAATTAAACCATACACAGGCTTCCTTGAAGACCTTGGCTTCCATTTTTTTGGAAACTGGAGAGCAGTCTTTAATGAACAGTGTCTGTTCGTCACGTGCTGCAAAAGTTAAAGCCGCAGTGAAAATTCGACTCCTTTGTGATTGGGATTTTTTGTTGTTGAGAGATTGACAAGTAGCTGACTGATCAGGAATTTTCATTTCAGAAATAAAATGGTAATTCAGAAAACAACAGAACCTCCATGGGCGCCTTGTCCCCTCTCTCCACCCCAATCTCTCCTCCTTTTTACCATTAATTTGCATAATTTTACTTTTTCACTGCCGCGCAC